TGAGCATGCTATGATATATATATATATAATGTCTACATGTTTTTGTTTATTCATATGTATGTATGTATGTATGTATGTATGTATGTATGCATGCATGCATGCATGCATGCATGCATGTGTATATATATATATATATACACCCGTATAAAGGGACGACAAAAGGGTATGTACTCTTCTAAAATTAATCGATGTAGAGAACCTGGTTCCACAAAAGCCCCAAAATCATGAACCATATCATCACACGCCCATGTAAAGTGCTTTGCCCTAAGGGTCCAAGTACCTAATAATAATAGTAACCTACATAACTACTATCCGAAACCTAAGTACCTGATCATTGGGTCCTTTGGAATCTTGGGGTTGGGAGCAGGAATCTTTGCAGGCAGATGGTGTGTTCCGTCCGAGTGGCGCGAAGCAGCCATGTCGGCTGCTGCAGACTCCACGAACTCCACCTGCCGGACAGCCTCTCTCCTGAAATGCAGGAATTTTGCCAGATTTTGGGGTTTAGGGTTGAGAAATTCGATGTTTCGGGCCCCTTAGACCTAAGCCCTGAATCCTAAATCCAACATCCCTCAACCCTAAACCCGTGTCAATGTAAGCCCCTCCAGCTAGAGCCCTACATCCCAAGCCTGGCACGATAAATGTGCCGGTACGCTATCGTCCTTAGTGCAACTAGAGTGCTATCGGTACTATACCCAAAAGCCCTGTTTTAATCTTAGTTGCTGAATTCAAAAAGCCAAAAAATGTAAACTTTCAGTTCTACGAGGATCATATGCTCACAGAAGGTGTGAAGTGCACCCACGCTGCGACTAAGTATTTCTGAAGGCCCCTATGTCACGATCTTCATCTCAATCTGAGCAGCAGGAGCATGTTCGCGCGTCGCTGCGCCGTCTTGGACGACCTGAAATCTCGGCACTGCAGTGGTTAGGGCGACTGTCAAGGAGTCTAGGGTGTTTGGGCTTATGGGGTTTGGGGCTTGGGGTTTAGGGTTTCCCTAAACCCTAAACCCTAAATCCCTAAACCCTGGTTTAGGGTTCAGGGCTTAAGGCTCCCTTGCTTGACCCCTAAGACTCCTTTTTGCCTTTATTTGCTTAGAGTGTGCTGTAGCTGTTGAGAGTTGGGTAGTTTCTAAATTATGAAACTAGGGTCCCTTCTTAGGGCCCCAACATAGTACGGCACCCTTCTAAAAAAGACCCCAAAAGGAACCCTAAATTACGGTCCCTTTTTCGGGCCCCAATATAGTACGGCACCCTTCTAAAAAGGACCCCCAAAAAGGCACCCTCATTTAGAGAGCTACCCAGTTGGGGGCGGAGAGTTTGGTGATCGTGGGAGTAGGTGAAGGGGACAGGGCCAAGGGTTTGGAGGTAGGGTTTAGGGTTTAGGGTGTAGGGTTTAAAGTTTAGGGTTCAGGATTTAGGGCTTAGGGTATAGACTGAATTTAGGGTTTAGGGTTTAAAGTTTAGGGTTCAGGATTTAGGGCTTAGGGTATAGAATGAACTTAGGGTTTAGGGTTTAGGGTTTAGAACCAGAGATAAGGATGTGGGTGGTATCAGCACGCAGAGTGCGGAGTCGCTAAGGTCTACATCCCAGACCCCCGGGAGGATCTAAAAAGTAGATCCCCTAACTTGGGACCCTAACTACTAAAGGGTACTTTATAGGAACCTCCTTAAGGGATCTACTTTCGAGATCCTCCCGGGGGTCTGGGATCTGAACACTCTGTAATTACAGCACCAACTCCAGCTCCAAACCCCGAAACTCAAGACGAAAACGCATAGAAATCCTTATGCCTAAGGTTTAGGGTTTAGGGTTTATGGTTTAGGGTTTAAACTCTCACAATACCCCAAAGACTTCATCTGAGAACTCCAGAGACGTAAGCGGCTGCGCAATTCTTTTTTCGGCCTGGGAGAGACACAGACTCGAGTAACCCTAAACCGTAAACCAGAAACCTGAACCCAGCTTAGGGTTTTGGGGCCCATTATACTAAACTTATAGTAAGGAACCCCCAAAATGATATTGGTAATTATTTAGGCCCCTATATTAAGCCCTAAACCCTAGGACTCCAGCATCCCCGAACCCCTGGCCCGATTCCCTTAAACCATCCTCACAGCTCCCATGTCTCGAAGTAATGTGGGACCTTAATCATTAGACTAAGTATTTTTTTGGAGGGGGGTCCTTATTATAATTACAGAATAATATACCCCAAACCCTATTCTAACTATTAAGGCCCCCAATATAGCACGCTATCATAGATCCCTTATAGAACCCTTTAAGGATCCCTTTGAAGGAACCCTATAAAAACCCATTCTAATTATTAAGTCCCCTACTCTAAAGCCTAAACCCTAAACCCTGAACCCTTTTCTAATTATTAAGGCCCCTACATTAGGAAACCCCGAAGCTCCATGGACTCCGCTATGCTGCGAGAGCTCCCAGGACTCACAGGAGTCTATCGAGGGTTCCGGTTAGGGTTTAGGGTTTAGGGTTTAGAGTTTAGGGTTTTGGGGTTTAGGGTTTAGAGTTTAGGGTTTAGGGTTTCGGGTTTGGAGTTTAGGGTTTAGGACTTAGAAGCGCAGATTTCAGATATTGAGGCTATTTAGGGTGTGGGGTCTAAGGGTTTACGACTCTTAAACCCTTAAACCACAAACCCTAAATGGCGTCAATAGGGTTTACGATTCTTAAACCCTGAACCCCTTAAGATTCTTAAAGGAACATCTCTGACATCCCGAAGCCCGAAAAGCTCGAATCCTCGCAGCCGAAATCCTGTACCACCCTACCCCGAAAGGCCTCGACCCTAGAAAACAGACTTCTGGGATATTGAGGGCTTACCCTAAACCCTAAACCCTAAACCCTAAACCCTAAACCCTAAACCCTAAACCCTAAACCCTAAACCCAAAACCCTAGGGTTTAGGGCTTTCGGGTTTGGGACTGAAGGCTTGGGGTTTAGGGTTTGGGCTTGAGGGCTTATGTAGGGGAATGGGGCCCCTACTTTTAAGGTTCCTTGCGTCCTTCAGGCTCGCTCTTCAGGGTTTAGGGTTTATAGTTTATAGGGTTTATAGGGTTTCGGGTTTAGGGTTTAGGGTTTAGGGATATCCAGATTTTCCGGGACTCTACGTACCGTGTAATTACGGAACATACCTTAAGCTTTAGTGGCCTCAGTGGTATGAGTTTCGAAGGCATAAACCTTCATTACGGGGTTTTGGGCTCTCTCGGTTTCAGGGACTCCCCCCTAAACCCAAAACCCCTAAAC